GAGGCGATGAGCGCGGAATGGATGGGAAAATTGGCCGAGCTGGAGAGAAAGGTCGTCGGACTGGACAATATCGAGAGTGCCTGGTCGGCGGCTTTGGCGAGGCCGGCGGCTCTAGAGAACACTATTCGAGTTCTCCAACTCGAGCAGGAATCAGAAAAGGCGACGACCATGCTAAGGGAAGCGAGACTCGAGGAGCGTATTGGTGAGATCGACCGGGAAGCATCGACCTTGGGGGATCGGGTCGCTGCTCTTGAGGCTGAAAAGGAGAAACTGTTGACCCAAGTCGAGTCTTCCTCCGTCGTTCCCCGTCATTTGTATGAGCTCTAGGTTCATGCCGAGGCCCAGCGAGACATATATAAAAGTTTGTGGGAGGCAGGAAATGTTTCTGAGGCTGCATATGAAGGAGACGAGCGAAGGCTCGAGAGGCTCGTGTTAACTGCGGATATGATCCTGCAATGCCGGAGGCGAACGAGGGTGTTGACGACGGAGGACTTCCTGGAGAGGGTGAAGAAGAGGACGGCGGTGATGACGCCGAGTGAAAGAATTGCTGTTTCTGTTGTTTTTTTATTGTTTATCGAATTCCGTCGGTTTTTAGCCGTATGTAATCAGCAGCTGTTTGCGCAGTAGCTTTGTATAAAGAGGAATTTTTCATTGTTGTATGCCTCATGTTCTTTTTGCTTTTCGTAATTTTGGCACAAAGAGGTAGATTTCCGTGCGGTGAATTCCTGATTCTCAGGGAATTCAATATCACACGGATTGAGTAGGATTTCGACGACGACTTTAGCTGTAGGGATGGTATTTTCGAACTTGTGTTGAAGCATTATCTCGTCGCAGTTCGAGTGGCGTCGAGCTCTTTTCTCTAACCCGTCGTGAGTCCCAGTCCTCTTTGGCGATGACTCTTGGCCTTAAGGGTGTTATTTCGAACTTATCGAAGTGTTAACCCGTCGTTGTTTGATCGAGGTCGAACTCTTCTTTTTTGGCGATGGCCCTTGGACTTAAGGGTGTTATTTCAAACTTGTCAAAATGTTAACCCGTCGTTGTTTAATTGAGGTCGAACTCTTCTTTTTGGCGATGGCCCCTGGCCTTAAGAGTGTTATCTCGAACTTGTCAAAATGTTAACCCGTCGTTGTTCGATCGAGGTCGAATTCTTCTTTTTGGCGATGGTCCTTGGCCTTAAGGGTGTTATTTCGAACTTGTCAAAATTTTAACCCGTCGTTGTTCGATCGAGGTCGAAATTTTACTTTTTTTTGGCGATGGCCCTTGGCCTTAAGGGTGTTATTTCGAACTTGTTGAAATGTTAACCCGTCTTTGTTCGATCGAGGTCGAACTCTTCTTTTTGGCGATGGCCCTTGGCCTTAAGGGTGTTATTTCAAACTTGTCGAAATATTAACCCGTCGTTGTTCGATCGAGGTCGAACTCTTCTTTTTGGCGATGACCCCTGGCCTTAAGGGTGTTATTTCGAACTTGTCGCAATGTTAACCCGTCGTTGTTTGATCGAGGTCGAACTCTTTTTTTTGGTGATGGCCCTTGGCCTTAAGGGTGTTATTTCAAACTTGTCGAAATGTTAACCCGTCGTTAATCCCAGTTTTCTGGAGAGTTTTGGGTGTCTTCTGGGGGAGTCCTAGTTTTTTGCTCAACTCGTGTGTTTCCTGGGTGAGTTCCAGTTTGCTTAATTTGTGTGCATTGAGGAGTGTGATGCCGGAGAGTACTGAACGTTGCTATCCTGCTAATGTTTGCTTTATACGTGTATTGGGGTCTCCCTGTTTAACACCCCCCCCCCCCCCCCCGTTATTCGGCCTGGAGAGCTCGCTAGTGGGCGGGGCGATAGACTATCCTTTGAGCTTTGGTGATGCCTCCCTTGTTGCCTCGTTCAAGACCTCCCGAGAGAACTCGATTGGGATAAAACCCGGGTGAGGGAAAGGGAGTCCGACGGTAGGGGACGTCATTTTCCAGAGGTTGACGTGTCTGAGATGAGCGATATTCAGGATATTTTGTAATAGTTCTACTCTCTAGTTGGGACGCTTCTTTGCTCGCTCGCCCATGCGGTGCTTGTGTTACTGTTTGCGAACAACAGAAGGTGAACCAAGATGAGATTTTCCTTACCTTGGTCCGATGGGTCGATGAACGAGGGTAGCCTCATAGAGTTGTTCGCTCCCTGACGTTTAAGTGGTTGATGGAATGGTGGTTTGTGGGTTCGGTAGCCGCGTTTGGACTTCTTTTCTTACTCTTTTTTTCTTTCAAACATGCTCTGGTTCTGTGTGGGTTGGGTTTGCCTTAGCTCATTCGTGGATCATTCGGAGTGTGGGTCACCCTATAAGATGCGCCCATCCCCTTGCGGGATTTGCACAACCGGCGTCGTCTTCTTTTCCAAGCTATGCGTGGACATTGGTTGCAACTTCTGCTTCTATGCAGCATCATGCTTTGGATTAGCGCGTGAGGTTTACTTACCATTTTCTTCGGTGGATGATTGGTGGTTTCGATCTGGAAGAGACTAGGAATTTTGACTAAGAAATTCCCTACAGACGGCGCCAAATTGTTTGACCCAAAGATATTGAAACCTTTTTTATTAAACCAATTAATGAAGATGAAAAGGTAAATCTTAGTCAAGCATAATAAACTCCAGATCTTGAAACAAATCAGAAAATGATGAATAAGATAAAATAGGGGCGATTGATCTTATTGATGTTTTTCATTTCTTCTCACACCAATCGATGGAGATAATCAGTTTACATCATGTCTGGAAAATTATTTTGTCTCCTTTTTGCTAAGAAGATTACAGAGGAGAGGAAAAAGAGAAAAGGCCCCCCTTTCTAGGAAGGTTCCCTCCCTATATATAGTCATGGAGTCCTTGCTATGTTCTTGGGCCAATGCACCTTCATACCACGTCCGTTCTCGTCGTTCCCTGGGTATTGTTCTTCGACTTAGCGGGTACTGTGATTACGTGGTTTGGAGCTGATCATGGCGTCTTTCACCGTCCCGCCGCTTGGGCGGGATCCCAGTTGGGTCGACCACAGCGGTCAGATTTTGATCAATACAGTTATAGCCTTAAACTATTCGTGGTCTTAATTACCTCCCTCAACTTGGCCTTTTGAAAGCGATTACCCCCCTGGACGCTGATGTGGCAAATAGTGTGGTGCACTCGCCTGCCACGTGCATATTTCTGTATGTGTGGTATTTTTTTTAAAAAATAAAATATATTTTTACCTTTTTAAGTATGTTACTTTTTTGGATAATTTTTTTCTAATACAGTTTATAATAAAACTTGGATAGAACTACATTGTTTAGGCTAAATATTTTATTTGGCTAAAAATAATAAAGTTTTAGTTAATCTTTTTTTTGAATTTGACCTCAAAATAAAGATTTATACAATTGAAATAAATAGTCAAGGCATCTAAAAAGTAATAAAAAAATACACATGACTTTTCGTTTCTTCTGACATCAGGCACTTCGAATTGGATTATGAAAACTCCGGTTCAATTTTTCGGTTATGAAATACTAAACCAAATAATCTTAGTTTGGTTTGTTTTCTTAGAGATTTCAGATTAATTGATTTAGTTATTTTGAAATTTCGGTTTAAACCTATGGAAATCTTCTGACAAGAAATAATGGACCTCTAAATAAAGTATTTGTGTCAAATTGCCTAATTACCTCATTCCCATTATATTCTCTGAAAATTTGATAATTGTAAGTACAAATGTAAATCCTTGATATGAAAAAGGATTACAAGAAGAAAAAATAATAATAAAGAAGTATGAGATAACTATCATGAGTATATGTTATAAATAGTCAAGGCATCTAAAAAGTTATAAAAAAATACACATGACTATTTATTTCAATTGTATAAATCTTTATTTTCAGATCAAATTCACATAAAGATTAAGTAAAACTTTATTATTTTAGCCAATAAAAAAATTTAGCTAAATAATATAGTTCTATCCAAGTTTATTATAAATTGTATCCGAAAAAATTATCCATAAAAGTAACATACTTAAAAAGGTAAAAATATATTTTACATATATAGAAAAATCCGCGTGGCAGGCGAGTGCACCCACACTCTTTGTCACATTAGCGTCCAGGGGGGTAATGGCTCTCAAAAGGCCAAGTTGAAGGGGGTAATTAAGACCGCGAATAGTTTAAGAATGTAACTAATAATCCATGTCAAGTTTAAGGGGGTGTTAAGGTATTTTACCAATAACTAAAGCTACCTTTCACCAGAGTCCATATAGTGTGTTTTTCGGCAAGTGGAATCCAAATTCACATATCAAATAATATAAGCATATTATTGTCTAAATTATCACTCATCTCTCTTAAATAATTTGCTTTCTCTGCTTTTTTTTTAGTTTGTATTTTCGTTTAGCTGATTTTAACCTTAGGTTCGAAATTGAGTTTCTTAGCATTCTGTCATTCTTCTGTCATTTTATTGATGGATTGAATGAATTAAAGGTCATAAAATGCACATAGGATTTACTGAAGTTCATATGAAAATAAACAAGCATGGACTGCGAGGCATCTGCTTGACAGTGTTGTGGGTGGCTCATATTGCAAGGTCATGAATGAACCTTATTAATCCTCTGTTCCACAAGAAAACTATAAGAGTTTTGTTGTTGCCTAACGTTTTGGCATACTATAGAAACTTATTTAATCAGTTGATTTAGACAATCTAATCTAGCTTTAACATTTATCTTTGTATTGTCCATTTTTGCGCAATTTCAAAATACATTTGGTTTTATTATGGAGAATAATATAAATCGTATGTTCTTATATGTTATTTTGGAGTGTTGTTGTACATATTTACAATGTCAAAACACCGCTTTAGTTTTCCAGCACCAAACATATTTCGATGTACATATCTATTGGCACAATATTCTCTCTCTAATTTAAGTTACTGCATCACTTATATTTGCTAACTAATACTCTTGAACCAATAAGGTTCAGTTAGAGTTAGAGTCAATTTATATGCAAGACGCCGTTCTAGAGGTTGTATAAACGCTTCTACTGAGATTAAGATAGTTTATTAGTAGTTTCTGTTGAAGTATTTTTCAGTTCAGTTAATTCTTAACAATTACTGCAATTGGTAGAGTCTTTTATGCCTGAATATTATAGGAAAACTTAAATCTATGTTGATCAAACCTCCAAAAGCTGATTTTCCTTTGAATTCCAAGATTACTGAGAGGGCTAAAGTCTTCCCAATTGCTTTTGTAGTTTCTTTTGGAATTCTTTGCTAAAATCACAATACAATTTAGCTGCATTTGGATATAACAAAGAAAACAGAAGGAGTGAGTGAGACAAAGAGTACATTTGTTTCTCTCAACATCCTCATCTTTGTTATTTAGTGGAAACTTTTTCTATTAGATTATGGTTTATAATTTTGACATCTCTGTAAGTGCAGGTATATCGATTATAAGCATTCTTTCAATTGGTTTGCTCAAAAGTTACGTTGCCAATTACTCTAGCTTTACATCATACCAAAGCCGTTGGGTTCTGTTAAGAGTACAATCATTTGCCTGAAGTCATTGATGCTACCTGCACATACTTGATCAACAAAAATATAAAGTTTCTTCTCAGAGGAAACACAATATTTTTCGAGAGAGTGTTAAATTCTATGGTAAATGTTGGTGTTTGCTATGATGTTGATATTTGATGAAGAAATGCTTTTCTGTACTTGTAGAAACTGAAGGTTTACTGGATTGTATGATAAGAGAGAGGAAGGAAACTGTCAGTATGAGTAGAATGACTTCTGCTTAAATTCTCATGTCTTGCTGACTACAACAAATGCTTGTCCTCGCATTCATCAGCTGAGGTAATGCTAAACTCAACTTTTCTACTACGCTTGCAACTATATGCTGATTTGTTTTATTTTTTGAATGATACATGTTAGGGGGTTGTTGTGAATTATCTCCATTAAAGAAATACGCCATTAAATTTTGCTGAAGATGGATAATTTTACATATAAGACAAATGAAGCATTCCGGTAATTCTTTGTTAATCTGATGCTTTTAATCGATATTTTCCTAACGAAGGCAAGAGATTAAAATATCATGTTGCCAGTTGTTTTGCTTGTTGTTCATTTTAGTGATTCTTGTTAAATCAAACCTTTTGCGATTATGCCATAAATAAGGGTTGGCTTGTGTGCTTACAAATCGTCGTTGCTAAACTGTTATCCTTCCTGCTGCAAATATCTAAAGGAACAATAACTACTGAGTATAATGTTTTACAGCATTTTTGACTAATCATTGTTGCAGGACTAAACCTATAGAATGTTGTTCAAGCAGTAGGCAGATAGACCTTGGAATGAGGAAATACTGGATAATATGACTCGAAGCTGTGAAAAGGGATTGTGCTGTTGTTCTTTTATCTACAAAATGGCTTTTTTGCCGTAAACTTAACCTTCGCTCAACTTTAACTACCACTTCTATGTAAAAAGAACTAAGAAAATTGAATGTGAAAGTTGAGCAAGGAATGACTAATGTCTTCCTGCTGTCTGCTATTGTTCTTGTAGTAGGTCTTATGTCATTGGGCCCGGGCTTGCCCGCGCCAATCCCATTTAGTGTATCTACAGATGTGTGCAACTTTACCAACGCTTAAAGACCCTTGAATCTGTAACTAGTATTTCTCAATGTAAATAAGACGTCATGTAAGTCTAAATCTTCAGCTCAAAATGAGATATCTAATTCATTTCTTTAAAATAATTCTTCTATTTATTGATAGTACATGATCAATCTATACTTGTTTACCCTAAAAACGGATAACAATTGAATTTATATTTTAGTTTAAGGATACGTGATTTTGCTTGGCACAAACTAAGAAAGAACGCAATATTGATATTGAAATTAACTGCAAATAAAAATAAAGCAAACCAAAGAAAATGTATAGCTTTGATCCTCGAGCGAGGTCGCCTTCGAATCAAACAAATATTCTACTGGTAAATAAGAACAAAGTGACAAAGTATTGAGAGCGTAAGAGAAAGATAGTATATTGCTTTATGTAGCGTAAAAATCATCCTCCTTACAAATGATTAGACCCCCTTTATATAGTAGGAGAGTCCCACTCTTGGTACAATTCCAAATACAGTAAAAAATCCCATGATTAGCTAATTAATCGGCCTCTTCTTGATACGTGCCAAGATTTGCGCCGTGATCCTCGCCCGATTGCGGATATTTCATCTTCCCATTATTCGACCTAGTAAACTTCCCTCGATCTCCTTCTTATTCAGTCTCGATCTTGGCCGATCTCAATATTGGTCGATCTCGATTTTGGCCGGTCTCGATCTTAATCGTTCTTAGGGTCTCGAGCTCGGCAATCTATCTTTACACCACGGTCCGATACAGCATTAGGTCGAACCTTGGCCTGCCACGTTCTAGGGCAAGCCCGATTTTGACCGTATACAGATAATCCCCTCGTTTTTTGGAGAGTTATGATAAGAAACGATACGAGACCTCGATCTTTACTCCGATGAATAATAACGTAAGCAGCTAAAGGTCATCGAAATGTCCCGTCGGTGCAGTTTCCCGAACGGGAGAATCTGGTCACAGAGCCCGAAGCGGCCAAATCAGAGGTCGAAGCGACCAAGGCATATGCTGATGTAGTGGTGGCTATCTACCGGGCCGATGCCGAAGCTGCTCAGGTCCGAGTAAAAGAGGTCATCGAGGCTACTCAGGTTCGAGCAAATTGGGTCGCCGAGCATACCAAATGTCAATTTCGAAGGGAGACCCTTGAGGATATCCATGCTCGGGGATTTGATCTTTCAACTGAGGTCTAGAACATTAAGAAGCTTGAAGCTGAAACTGGGAAATTAGCTTATGCCGATGATTACAACGAATCTGAAAGCTTGAGTGAATCCGAAAGTGGAGAAGACCCCGAGGGCAGAGATGCCACTTCTGGAGATGACCAGGCCACTTAGGCTTTTAAATAGTTTTTGTATTTTTGTCGAGGCCGTCTTGGCCTTGTGTAAGGAACTTCCATCGGGCCGTGTTGCCCTTGTAAAAAGGATTTGATGAATATATAAAACTTTTTCCCTTCTATGGCTTCTGAATCTGTTGTCTTTTTGTCAATTTATGTAAGGGTCAAAGTGCCTTAGCATAAAATTATGAAGTTGTATTCGGAAGTCCAAGGTTTGAGATGGTAAGGACCGACAGTAAGTGCTACCCTTGACCGTTTTTGATTGGTAATCCCTGAGTGAATGTTCGAACTTGAATTAGGATAGCCCTTAGGCTTAACAGTTGAGTGAGGATTTGCTCGAACTCGAAGTAAAAGTAGCCTTTAGGCTTTATGGCCGAGCGAGGACTTGCTCAAACTCGAGATAAGGTAGCCCTTGGGCTTGATAGATAGTTCCCAAGTGAGAATTTGCTCGAACTCGAGTTAAGGTAGCTCTTGGGCTTTGTAGTCGAGTGACGATTTGCTCGAACTCGAAGTAAAAGTATCCCTTAGGCTTTATGGTCGAGTGAGGACGAACTCGAGATAAGGTAACCCTTGGGCTTGATAGATAGTCCTCGAGTGAGAATTTGCTCGAACTTAGGTTAAGGTAGCCCTTAGGCTTTGTAGTCGAGTGAGGATTTGCTCGAACTCGAAGTAAAAGTAGCCCCTAGGCTTTATGGTCGAGTGAGGACTTGCTCGAACTCGAGATAATGTAACACTTGGGCTTGATAGATAATCCCCGAGTGAGAATTTGCTCGAACTCGGATTAAGGTAGCCCTTGGACTTTATAGTCGAGTGAGGACTTGCTCGAACTCGAAAAAAAAGTAGCCGTTAGGCTTTGTGGTCGAGTGAGGATTTGCTCGAACTCGAGATAAGGTAGCCCTTGGGCTTGATAGATAGTCCCCGAGTGAGAATTTTCTCGAACTCGAGTTAAGGTAGCTCTTGGGCTTTGTATTCGAGTGAGAATGACCTCTCGAACTCGAAGTAAAAGTAGCCCATAGGCCTTTTTTTTGCTTTCTTTTGTATTTTTTTGAAGGCCTATTTTGTTATAGGTTTGGATGTCTCCGAGCCGTGTTAAATTGGCCGTAGCCTTTTAGTTCGGGTGTAGCCCAGTGAGCTTTCTTCCCCGAGTTATCCAGGCTTGCCTAAGACAACAGTCCCCGAGTGGGTATGGTCGTGGCCTTTAAAATTCGAGGATTTCCTAAAAGGTCTTATGCCCTCGACGCAATAGTTCAATATGTTCGAGTTTTATTTTTCGGACAACAGTCCCCAAGTGTGGAGGTGATTATCCGACTCTGGTTGTGATCGGCCCTTGAGCTCGTTTTCATAATAGATTGAAAGTATGGAATTATAAAGTAGAAAATTTTTTTCTAATACATGAGATAATTGCAAGGAAAAATACTTCACTTTATTCTTGTGAAAAATAATTACACATGCATACATGTTTTGTGCCAGGGCTCGAGCAACCTATGTGGGCACGGTTCGTTCGATCTTTTGGCCCTATCGAGACCCCATCATTATGATGTAATTTCCTAGCAACAAAGTTGGCATCCAAGGGAAATGCCCCCAGTATTCGAGGTTGATTGTAGGGGAACCTTGGATAGTGTTAATGCTGTCTGTGACACCGATTCGTGATCGGCCTTCGATTCTTAGTTATAACGATCACTGTTGCCTCGTTAAACACCTTGCCGAAAAACCCAATTGGGACAAAAATGGTTCAAGAGAAATAGAGTACAACGCGTGCTTTAAGACCTAAGGCTTCGTGCCACTCCTTGTCGATAACCTGCAAGTGTTAGTCAATAAATAGAAAGAATTGAAATGGGGTCTTAGCTCATCAGTAATATCCTTTGAGATAAATTACGTTCCAATTGTTCGGTAACTGTTCTCTGTCCATCGTTCCAAGCTTATAGGACCTTTTCCCTATGATCATCGAGATCTGGTACGGCCTTTCCCAGTTCGAACCTAATTTCCCTTCATTTGGATTTCGGGTGTTTAATGTTACCTTCCTCAACACCAAGTCCCCGTAAACTTTGACCTCAATCATTTCTCCTCTCATTCCGTGCAGAAATTCGCCTAGATCCACTGCCTCTACGGTTCCCATTATACGGTTGATATCGATCTCTATTTGACCTTGGTTCTCGGTCAATATCTCTCTTGATTCTATCTACGGGCCTGATAGGATAAACGGACCCAGAAGGAGCCCCCTATTGATAATCCTCGACCCTGATCTTCGACTGATACCGATTGTGTACATCGGCCCAAGTGACAGCTGGGTATTCGATCAAATTCTACTTCAACTACTAAAGATACTGAACTTCGAGCATTGAGACCTTGAGTGAAAGCTTGAACAACCCAATAGTCGGTGAACGGTGGTAAATCCATCCGTTCCATTTGGAATCGAGACACGAATTCTCTGAGCGTCTCGTTGTCCTTCTGCCTTACCTTGAAAAGGTCCGACTTCAAGGTTGCGACCTTGATGGGCCCAGCGTGTACCTTTACAAAAGAATGTGCAAGCATAGCAAACAAGTCAATAGAATTAGGCGGTAAATTATGATACCATATCATAGCACCTTTTGATAGAGTCTCCCCAAATTTCTTCAGCAAGAAGGATTCGATCTCGTCATCTTCCAAGTCATTTCCTTTGATAGCACACATGTAGGAGTTGACGTGTCTGTTTGGATCGGTCGTCCCGTTATACTTAGGAATCTTGGGCATATGAAACTTCTTGGGTATCGGCTTCGGAGCCGCACTTGGGGCGAAAGATTTTTGTATTAATTTTTCGGAATATAGTCCTTTCAACATCGCTGGTGCCCCTGCGATTTGGTCGACTTTGGAGTTATAGGTTTCCACCTTCTTATCGTTTTCCTCTATCTTATTTTCCCCTATCTCGATTCGCTTTGTCACTTCTTCGAGCATCTTTATGATAGCAGGATTGGTCTCCGATTCCTTCTCGTTTGATTCCCTCGAAACCGATACGACCCTGTGTACAACTTCCTGGGATGGCTCGAGTTCGATCCTGCTTGGTGTGTGGTTCTGATTTTGGAGCTGGGCTATTGGTGCCTGTTGAGCCTGCAATATTTTGAAGATCACTCGCAGGCTATTCCTGCCATCTTCACTGCCATATGCGCTTTGAGTAGCTGATCGGGCACCCCCGCACATGTTGCTTTTGGAATCGACGGCCAAATTTCCATTGATGGCTACATGTGAATTGACATCGATTGGATATATAATCGAAATTCCATCGAGGCCGGTAGGGGGTATAACGTTTCCTGGTGCAATGTTCTCATTTTCACCGTGGTGGCTGAGATCATTGTCAACGCGTCTAGGTGCTGACTGAGAGTTTGATATTTTTTGATCATGTAATCAAAGATACTTGAAAGAACAAGTGTAAAATAGTGTGTGTTACAAAAATTTTTACCAGGTAATCACTATTATCCTTAGCCCCACGATGGATGCCAAACGGTTTACCCTAAAAACTGATAACAATTGAATTTATATTATACGTGATTTTGCTTGGCACAAACTGAGAAAGAACGCGATATTGATATTGAACTTAACTGCAAATAAAAATAA